CGTGCCCATCGAATTATTAGTTTTGGTTCAACACTGTCGTTTAGTGTGCTAACTTAAGGAGGTTTCATCTAGATGTGGTGTAGATAGCGATGATGATGTACGCTCTAGGAAGCAAAAGGCTCTTGAATGTATGCGCGTACTGTCTACCATTGTTACTATTCCTTATCGAAACTCCCAAGACAATAAGCTCGTAGCGTTAGAGCTCGAGCCTTAGACTTCTGATCGAAAGAGTCGCGGGTTTGAGCCTCGGGTGGTGCACCACCTGGGGTTGGGTATGGCTGGCTGATGACTGTTAATGAGCCAGAAGCGGTTATTCCAGTCTCCCTAGTCTTATTCGGTAATGTCGGTTTGCCTAATTTGCACTAATTTGGGCTAAAAATGCCGCTTAAGTGCAGTTACTTGATCCGGATTTCATCTGGCGTGATTTAGCCGGCATCACTTAATTGTTGTATGGGGGTAACGATGGAGGTATAGGCTCGCAGAACCAGAAGGCCATTGGATTAATGTGCGTACTGTTTGTTCTACTTTGAACCGATGGGAGAGAAGGCCCAAAAGGGACACCAGGGAGTGTTCCTTATACTCTGTGTGACGCATGATTCGATCGGTAGATAGAAGCCATCCATATTGCCGGACATCTACACGATATCTAACTGCCGTGTCAACCGCCGCCTTATCCTGTCCGTTGAACACAGTAAGATAGGGGAAGAGGAAACAGAGTGGGGACATGTAGAGGAGAGAGGTGTCACTCCGACACAAGTCACCACTGTTTGCTTTAAGCCTAGAGCGCCCTCTATTCATTTTTTTGTTCTTGGCTCTTTTTAGACTCGCCCTTTACGTCTACGAGTACCTCGTATATGCGGGTGCACAGAAGGCAGCACAAACATTTCTGCAGGAGGTGCGTCCATTGTTACATCGTTTTACTTTGTTATCATGATTTGTTCGTAGCTTTCGCTTCTATTCATTTTAAAAAAGCCCCGAAAATGTTCTGTCTGTAGGGCGCTCACCGGCCTGGTTACGGAACATGCTCGTCCCATTGTTGTGCCTTTGAGCTCAATCTAGAGCCCTGGCAGGCAGTCGCATAGCGACTTGTAGTAGCCCACCTCGAGCTCAGACCAAATTGGGCTTAATAAGCGTCGGGCGCACTAACCGGAGAGTCCTTGTTCTTGATTAGCAAATACAGTATAGGCACTACACATTACATATGTACTGTAGTATGTGTAGAGCTTGGTTATGTAGAAGAAAAGAATGCTGTTTGTCTGTATTTTACGTAACAACAAAAACACGTAATCAGTTGCGCACGCAGAGAGTTGAGAATTTCA